GGTTTCTCATTAGATTTCTTAATTTTCTAGATCAATATGAGACTTTGGAAATCATATATATGTGCCTGTGTGCGTGTATGTATATATATATAATATATATATATGTGTGTGTATACACACAGTACACACACACACACATATATATATATATTATATGTGTATGTTTATACTTTTTTAAAACATTTATGTAGTATAAAAAATTTACATAATATATTTTTAATTATACATTGCTGTTATATATAATATATAAAATAAATTAATATACTTCAATCAAATTCTTGATGTAAAACATAATATAACATTTAACACAACTGTACTTATCAAAACAATACATACTTAATATTTACTATGTAATTTTTATTGATCGAAATTAATTTTATACAAGGATATACAATTTTTAAAAATTGGAATCGTTTGAAGTAATATTTTTAATAAACATGTATTTTTACAACATGTTATATGTTTTCAGATAAGTGCTGTACCACCAGGTTGATCATCAAGAAAATACTCACAATAGGTATATTTTTCATCAATCATAGATAAACTAATTCTTATACTTAACTTTAATAACTTAAATATATCAGTCTGAGTCTAAATATATAGAAAAGCATGTTGACAATCTAATTGATGTATTCAAAGTTGCTTGTGGTTATATTTTTTATTTTGCAATTCTTAAGTTTGCTTTAATTCTCATTGTGTATTGTCAGATTTTTTTTACTTGTAAGACGATGTGAATCTTTTTATTTTGAAGATATTTTGTGATAGAAAACTAAATTAATCACAATCGGAAGATTTTATTGTTATTTATGAATATTTTTTGTGTGTATTTTATAATTTTTTTCCATATTTTTATAGTTTGATATCTTCACATCACGCTCAGGCTTTTGACATCATTGATGACTCCAACTAACAACTTTGTATACCTAAGGTTTGTATAATCTTCATTGTCTCTTTTTGCAATTACCATTTATAATTATATCCTTGTTAATTCTTATTGATTTAATTGTGATGATAGTTTTATAAATGATTTTAATGATTTTAATTATCCTAACGTGTACTGAATAACCAATGAAAATTTAATTTATATGATATATCATGATATATATTATTAACTCCGAATTTTTGTTTCTGTGTTAAAGGAAAGTCCATAATGAAAAACTAATATAAATTGGTCTGATATATAGAACGTTTCAATTATATTTTAAAGGTGAGGTTATTTTAAATTTTTTAAGAAAATGCAAAACTATCTTAAATAACTAATTCGCGATTACTAGAGTAGTTTTAATTGCGTTTATTTAGTCCGGAAAAATAATTCGGCGTGCAGTTTGAAAAAGACTACAATATGGTATATATGCAAG